AAAAAATTAATATATTGAAAGAAAATCTAATAAATTTTTATTATTTGATATATTTTTAAAAAATAATAAAGTAATTTTTTAAATTATATTTAGTAAATCCTTAAAAAAAATTTATTATTAAACTTTTTTTTACTTTAAAATATATGTTATATTAACCTTTCTTTATTTTATATTTAATAACTGATTTAATGAAATTTTAATAGTATTAAATTAGAATATATTATTATTAGTTTTATAATTATTATAATCATCTGATTTATAATCAGATTTATTATCATTATAACTAGTTAAGTTACTTAAATATTTATTAATATTAATATTATTATAGTGAATGAAAGAAATTATATTAATATAAGTTTGATCAAAAATAATTATGTATTTATTGTATATATCAATTAGTAACAATTTATATATCTTAATATATTTTTGAAATTTTTAAATTATTTTTTTAATAAGTATTATATATATGTATATTATTTAAAAAAGAGATAAGTATTAAACCTTTTATCTCTTAAATTATCTAGTAAGCATATTTGTTTACAAATTTAAAAAAAAGTGTTAATATCTTAATAAAATATTAAATATTAATTTTGGTCATGTAGTATTATATAAATATATATTTTAATATATATTTTATCAATTTTATTAAAAAAAATTTTAAGTTTATTAAGAAGTTTTTAAATAATTTAATTTTAAATTAAATTTTAAAAAATTTATTATAATAAATTTCTTTAAAGTTCATATATTTATAAACTAATTGAATTACTTTATTATTAATAAAAGTTATAAAATTTCTTAATAAATTATTAAAATTATAATAATTAAGTTATACTCTATGATAAATTATATAATATTCTATTATAATTAATATTGTTAAAATAAATGTTAATAAGATTATTAAAGGTCAATGATAAAATTTTTATAAAAATTTTTTAAAGATTATAAAAATTTAATTTATAATCAACTATAAATTATTTATTATATAATTAATAAATAAAAATTACTATAATATATATATATATTTATAAATTAATTTTTTAAAAAATTTTTTTAAAAAATTATAAAAGTAAATTAAAAGGAAATTTATAATAAATAAACAGGCAAATTTGTTTACAAATCTTTACAATCTAAAAGATAAAAATATATATATATAAAAATGGCAAAAACTTTATAATAATATATAATTTGATTTATAACTTGAATATCAGCATCTTTTGAATATTTTTTTGTATTATAAAACATAAAAATATATTACATTTATAAAACTTTTTGTGAAAATATATAAATATAAAATAACAAAAGTCACATTACAATACATATCTAAAATATATAATATATAGAAGAATTCAAGATAATACTAAACTTAAATTCTTAAACATTATAGAGAGTAATTTAAGTTTAAATAGAATTTAACATCTAAGAGCATTCAAAAAGGCAAGAAAGAACACAAGTAAATTATATCTTTATGTTATTTCTATATTTAAATTATACTATTATAAAGAATCAATAGGAAGGAATCAATTAAAATAATATCTAGTATAGCAAAAAGATACTCAACAAATAAATTGTTTTACTATAATTAAGTTATATCATTACATTTATAGGTTATGAATTAGTTATGCAAATAGGTAGATTATATAAATCAAATTACTTTATAACATTCAGGTAATATGGGATCTTTGTAATAAAAAAAGGGAAACAGCTGGAAAAAAAAAATGAGTTAATGCTAAATCTGAATATATTTTGATCTAAAAATCATATTTGCCATTTAAAAGTAAAATTGATTTTTTCTGGTAGTTTTCCTTTTTCTATTGCAAAGGTCTTATATCATCATACTCAGGTTATATCCTTATATTCAAGTTATACGGTAATTCTATATTCAGGTTATATTACCATTTTTCATATCCTGAATTTACTATTACCAAAATATTATTTGCTATGAAGAAAATTTTACTGGAATATATTTTCTTGAAGAAAATTATTTCTAAAATATATTAATTAAAAAATGCTTTAAAATTTTTTTTCTAATAATAAAATTTTTTAAACTAATTAAAATTAACCGTTTATTAAATAATACATAAATAAAAATAATGAGTTTATATAAAATTAAAGGTTTTTTTTTTTAATATAATTTTTGGAATGTTCTGATTGTTTCTTATCAAATATTTATAATGTCCTTGATTTAATCAGTGTAAATATATTATCTTTATATTTATTCAATATGAGTATAAGAAATTTATTAATAATAAATAAAGATAGCACACAGCATTACGATTACTAATAGATAATAAATTAAATAAATACATTTTGATCATTTCTATTCATAGTATAATAAAATTCAGAACGGTATGTAAAATCAAGGTTAAATTTGCCGAACCTTTCGAAATGGTGAATTAGTTAAATCATTTTTTATTGAAACAAGATGAATCTGGCGCTTCAAATTCTTTTTTGTTAACTAGTAATTAAGCCTTTATATCTCGGTTAATTTTTTTCTTACGATTTGATTCCTCTTTTCGAGCATATGACGATCGATTTCTTATCATTTGAATAACGGCTTTCGTATTAACCAACTGAATCAATTTTGTTGATTTTTATGATATCAATTCGAAATCATATGTTTAATTTTTATAATCCAACCGTGTACTGATATTATGTTAACAATCATTTTGTTATAAAATTAATAACTGTTGTAGAAGTTTCGTTAAAATGAGGGAAAGAATTAGAGAAATCGAAAGGACGATTTTATTAAAATTATAGAGAACACTTTATTAAACAATTTTTATAGAAAAAATTCTTAAGTAAATCTTTTTATTATATTTATTATAACTAATTATTATTACCTTTTTGATAAGCTAATGATTGTACGTCTAATGAGAGGATAACAAGGTAAGGTTCTAACTATCATTATTATTGATAATGCGAGTCAGGACATCCTATATAACATTTGATAAAAAAAAAAAAGATATATATATATATAAAAATCAAAAAAAAAAAATTCAGATTCAAAAATTTTTTTAGAAGAAATGTTCGAACTGAAATTCGAAACATCTTGTTTTGAAATCATCTCATGATTGAATCGTTCGAGAATTGAAATTTGAAGCTATTTAAGTCAAGACACATTAAATAAAGAAATGAATTGTATAAAATGTTTGTCAAATTACATCATGCGATTGGAATATCAGACGATTTTTTATGCAAACTAATTTCTTTTACTTTAGCGAATTAGTATAAAGATTTTTTTTTTTTTTCTTATTTTTTTATAATTCACTTTTTTTTTTTATTCTTATGATATAAATCAAGAAAATATTATTAAGATTTTTTTTCCACATTGTTGCTAAGAAAGTAAGTAAAGAATTTCTAAAATTCATAGTTACAATCACCAAATGAATCCCTAATTTATTTTATAAAAAGATCGACATGCGTTATCTAAAATGGATTTCATAGAATGAATGCCGAAATGATCGTTTAGGGATATGAATACATCCAATTTGGCATGGTTGTACTACTGCGTAAAATACGCGTAGAAAATGAAAAAATGGAAGTGGCTGAAAATTTTAAAGGTTTGATTGCATTTTTATTGAAAATCTTTAAACTTTCTGGGGTTACCTTAAATTTGTAAAATAAAGTAAAAAAAAAAAAAATAATAATTCAGTAACTGTGAATCGGTGATACATGTGAAGTGCTAAACACATTTTGAGGAAAGAACTGTGAAATATTAAAAATCTTTATCATTCAAATAATGTTTTTAGTTTATTTTTGAATGGAAATTTTCAATAATAAAAAAATGTCGTAAGTGATGCAGATGAATTAACTCCGCTAGTGATATTTCTTCTTTATTTGTTACCGTTACATGAAAAATTTTTTTTTCCTGATATGGTTTGGAATCTAAATTCCGAAGCTTTTTGAGATTAATCACGAGTTCTTTATCTTTATCTTTTTTTATATTTGCAATAATGGTTAAATCAAATGAATTGATGAAGTAAGGCATATGAAAATTTTTCTTTGTGATCTGTTTCATATCGAATGATCTTGCACAATCCCCTTGTACGCAAAAACATAACTCGATTACAAAAAAGACAATTAGACCAAATTTAATTTGGTTCAATTGATGAAACGTCTAATTGGTTCTAGACCTCGAATGTGAATACCGCGTTAAAAGCAAAAGACTTATATGGTTAAAAGAAACGTATGCGGTATCGATCGGAGCGAATAAATTATACTTATCAAGTAATCATTCGCATAAACAAATGTTTTCTTTGTTTCTCTTTTTTTTCACGCTATTTTTTTTTTGTTTTTGTGTTAACAATAGATAGATTTATATTGTTGGGGAACCAAACAATTCTGCCAAATATTTCAAGAGAAGAATTTAATCTACCATTATTGCATATCTGTATTCGTAAGCGCGTTGTTTAAGAAACAGTAATTACAAATGTTATGCACATATTCCTTAAAAAGTGATATAATAAGATATGTTATAGATCGATCATTAAAAAAAAAAACTCCTACAATCATCACGTTTTTTATTTATCACATTGTGACGAATTATTATCATTCATAAAAGGCGTGAAATAAAGTTACGGTTAACAGACGGAATAATAAGAGAGGTGTCATTTATTTGCTTGTGTTCAATTTGAAAAAGAAAGAAGGTATATCTCACGAAAACTTTTGACATGGTAAATGAACTGTATTCAAAAAATGGAAAATGTTTGTTTTTACGCGTTTATGAATTGAATTGATCGGCAAAAATGAACGTGACCTGTGACACTGTGGCTGGTTTCATCATGCGCAGTAAGATTGTGTATTTGTCATGCTTTTTTGCGGAAGACCATCATGTAAAAAAAAAAACTGCCCAAAAGAAAAATAATATGATGCGAAGCAAATTCATTAATTTTCCCACTCATCAAACTCAAGCAATTCATATGCACAGCAACTAAATACGCATTACATAATTCCTACGCATTCTCTAAAAATAGAAAAACATTAATTAATTAAAGAATCCGTCATGAAGGTTCAAATCGAATAAGTACATTTCTTTCTTTTTTTTTCTTTTTCGACAAAGGGTTGATTGTCCAATTGGCGAAGCAAAAGCTAATGGATAAAAGGTTATCAATTGACTTAATGGAAGTTCCCCTTTTTTGGAAATAAGTCGCCGAGATCCGGTTAGCCTAAACAAATGGAGGTTTTTCGGTTAAATTCTTACCGTCGGATAAAAAAATGCTTGGAATTCCAAGAAAAATGTATGTACTAGACTTACATCTTGTTTATGAAACAACATATCGAGCGTCAACTTTTCTCTGAGAAACCCATCTCCTGGTAACAATGAGAACAAATTAGGAAGTATCTACTGCGCCATCCAAGACTATCTCGTCATCCAAAGAGGAATGCTTCCGCGGGAAAGTAGTCATCATGTAATTACTATTTTCCCATTTAGAATTATTGTTTCGATCTGCAAAAGGTATGTCATCAATGGCATCATTACTAACTATCATTAACCCATACGGAAATATGTGTACTTTGGATTTACCATGCACGGTTAAACCACATGGCTGTTGCGCAGTAACAAGTTTTTCTTTATCCATCTTATTTTATCAAGTATTCAAACATTACCAATTCACAAATGTTTAAACGGTTCGGAATTAATGACCCGGCTTGTACCGAACACCAATCATTGAGACCGTTCACGAAAATTTAAAACTTTGAATTGAACTAGTAACAAAGCCTATTTTAGAAATTTTTTTTTTTTGGAAAGGGAAATGTATTGTTAAAGTTTTCATTATTAAATAGTGTACACCGTGTAAGGGTTGCACCACGCACAGCAAATATATCAGATGATGTGGCGAAAGTGTGGCGAGGGTAAAAAAACCTGTTGTGGCGCGCAATTCGTAGCGCAGCGAAAGAAAATAAAAACGTTTCGAGGAAAGAAGTGTTGTACTTTTTATTATTTTAGGATTGTTCAATTGTGCATTCATATTTTATAAATTCAAGTCGGATCACCTTTGTCTCTTTAAAAAAAATTTCTTTCTTATTCATTCGATAAAAGGAATTTCTTTGCAGACTTTAAGGTTTGTGCGAAGATTATTTCCCAAATTGTTCGGTTTATAGAACGCAACAAATAATTACCAAAGTTAAACATGGTTATGTCAATCTATCAGAAATTCTAGCAAATTCTACCAAGTCCCGGTAAATAGGCGCTCAATTTATTAACCCGAACCGAGTTGCGGCCATGCTTTGCTTACGACCCCGTTGTTCGGTATACGCAGGATAAGCGATTTCAACTATAAATAGATAGAAATTATAGTAATGTGACAAGTCTAAGCCAAAATCATTCTAGAAACGTGGCACACACTATATAAATCTACAAACAAACAATTGGATTTGGCAAAAGATAATGTTATTATATAAGTTTGCTGCGGAGCCGAAGGATTGCAACGATTGATTGAATGAAAACTTTTAGGTAAGCTTTACATAATAAAAGAATGAGGAAGTCATTGGTGGTATGAAAGATTAAAATTCTTTTACTATTTTAGTAATAATATGAAAGAAAAAAGGAAATGATAAAGAGGTTAATATGAACTTACCTCCAAGGTTGTCCCTGAAAAAAAGATGGTGGCATCATTTGATGTATGAAATGTATTTTTTTGGAAGTAAGGGGAGATATTTTCTCGTAAGGGTTGACGAACATTTGCTTTATTTGCTTTAAAGAAAAGATTAAACAATAATCAGAATGATTATCTACAAATAACAAATAATTTAAAAAAAAAACAATAGAATGTTCCATGTATTTACGCGTATAATTATTGGTTTGTCAATGTCTGAACTCTTATCAAACGTATTTTACGCATTAAGGGGGATCTCACGAATACTAAAGCAAGAGTACAAAGAACAACCTAATTGAGATTATACGCGTCTCGTCACATTGTACAATAATTTTAATAGTTTTAGACGGTTGGTTTCCGATAACTTCAATGCAAAAAAAGGCAAGAAATTTTCATTAATCTATAACGTTTATCATCCATTGCAAAGGGATGATTTCCTTCGCAGGATAGTAACCTATCGAATGGTACAATGTTTAGCGTGTGCAACTAAAACTTGGGTTTTTTTGTTCTGATTCATAAATTGTTTCGTTCATTTTCTTTGAAACAAAAGGTAAATGCAACGAGACATGTTTGGCACACAGGCGTTAACATTATAAATAGATTCATTACGAGAAAGTCAATTAATAATCTTCTTGTAATTACAAATAAAAAAGTTTTTTATTTCAAACAGGACAATGTGTCCAAATTAGTTAATTATAATTTCTAAATTCGTAACTTGACAAAAGATTTCTAATTATCTTGTACATGAGAAAAAAAAAAAATTTAAAACCACATAAAGAAGTCTCGTTAATCATTTGTCATCTTTTTTAACGCCCTCCCGAGAATTCAGGAACGATTTTTTTTTCTTAGCATTTCTAAAATCAAATTTTTTTTTATTTTTTTTTTTTTTAACATTATAATAATGTGATCGATTGTAGATTAATTAACATCTAATGAAAATTTTTATCCCTTTTCTTTAAACCTGAATCGGCGTGCATTTTTACACGTTACACCTATTTTGACTTTTATGACCAACAGTTTCTAATAATCAAACATATGAATCATTTATCGGTGGTCTATTATTAGAAATTAAATAAATGTGAATTCCAGGGAAATGGGTAGTTGCATGAGAAATTGAGAAGTGGTTTCCTTTTAAAGGCTTGAATATTAAAAAAAGAAGACAAAGAGAGAAATGATTTATTTTTATTTTTTGATGAATAAGTGTGATACAATCCGTTTGGGCCGTCGATCTTTGGCCAATCCATTGTTTTTTTTTTTATTCCCTTCATCCTAAATGTTCTTATTACATGAACCTAATAATATAATAGGTGGTTTGCCTCATTTCACGAATTTAGGTACCACGATTATATTGAACCCTTCGCCTCAGAATACATGCAACAAAATTTAAATCGTAATTCTCCTATAAACTTATCACAAGTGATTTTTAAAAGAAGGTTTTTATCTATTTGAAGTTTTAAACAATGATAGATTAAATTAATGCATAAATGATAATAAAATGAGTGATTTCAAAGTGATATTACCAGGTAACGGTAAAAGTAACGGTTAACGAAAGAAGATAACAAGCAAATAAACAAATAATGTTTTAATCGTCTGGTGAGCCTCGCCACTCTTCGTCGTATATCCAGACAATCCCATCCTGACGACATGGTTCATATCACCTATTCCCTTTGATTATCACCAACTAGGTTAGAAAGGGTTTTAGTTAAGGAGGAACATCAAAAAGAAAAATCTCTACTTTTTGATTTGGGCCCAACCGATCGCCATTATACAACTGCAAAACTAGCCACACTTATGTTACCATTCCAAGGGCCAGGTCAATATAAAAAAAAAAATTTTTTTTATGATGCTTTTTTTTGGTGAGGATCAGCAGGCCGCCGATCTTATTTTAATTCATATAAATATTATTTATACAATGACTACTATATTTTAATATTTATATATTACGTATATATTTAATTAAATTAAATTTTATTATTTATAGTGGTATGGACAATCAAAAAAACCTTTTCTTTTCTTTTGTATTTATTATTCGTAAAGTAAAAATTTTTACTTATTTTTAAAAAATCTAATAATCACATGACTAGACAGAGAAAATTAAAATATAAATAGTAGCTTACATCTTTACAAGTGGATTGGGAGCAAGCAAATCAATTTAAACTTAAAAAAAAAAAAAAATCTTCATTAATTACTTTTTCCTTGCTTTTTTTTTTTTCAACTCCTCTTACAAATGCATACCTCTTACTTGTACTATTACCCATCGACAATTAATTCTTTTGATTCATACGACGAAAGTATCTTCATGGAACAGGGGTCTCCTTTTGACGTATCTCTTATAAATTCACCTCGTTCTTTAGACAGTGAATCCGGAAACATGACATCTTCCTCTGTTGAGGCATCACCCAACATAGCTCAAGATCCTCCGATGATGCTTATCAAGCCCCCCTTCCCACCGACAATTAATATCGACGATTTAGTTACCTCAAAACCGAACGGTGATAAGCCAAGCAAATCTTCCAATGCATTTATTATCTATCGTAAAGCTTACGTGAAAGAGCTTCACTCGAGAGGAATTAACCTTCAAATGACCCAGATATCACCAATGGTATCCGAGTCATGGAAGCAAGAACCCGAAAACGTTAAGGCGGAATACAAACGTCTCGCCGAAGCCGCGAAAAAACGTTACAAGGAGATGTGGCCCTCAAAGCAAAGACGTCGACAACACAGAAAGCAACAACAACAACCGCAACCACTCCCACAATCGCTATTCATCGACCATTCGAAGCCAACGAACGAGCTTGGTTTAAGTAATCTAACTCCAACGCCAGTTATGGACATGAGTCATTGGGATTTCTCACAAACCATCTGGCCCCTTGGTGACAATCACCAAGCAATTTCGCCATTGCAAACCCTTTCGCTTGATCCAATGTTATTAAACACAACCGATGGACTTTATAATAATAATAATACGCAAGAAGGGCTTAACCCTTCATCAACTTTGAAGAGTCCAAGTGATTTTATCAGTTCGAGTAGCACAGACAATTCTCCGTTGATAAATTATCTCATAAACAATAACGAGCGTCCCACAGGTAGCATGCCTGTACCGAATGACCCCAAGGAAAGCTTATTGGCATACCATAAACTCATGGTTAATTGGCATAAAGATCTGAGACGACAGGAACAACCATATAAAACATTTGCAGAAGCAACGAGTGTGTCATTTTTTGCATTTCATTTGGTTTAGATTCTAATATAGATATACACAAGTATATTATTATATTTCTAAAAATACATTTTATTTCTCTCTCTGTCTCTCTCATATTCAAAGTATATTATTCATATAAAATAGCTGGATACCATAATTTTTTTATTATTCTGGTGGACGTGGCGTGGACACTTTTATTTTTTTTTTTATTTACCATAATAGGTTATATATGTATAAAAATATGCAATGTATGTAGAATTTTTTTTTTCATTAGATTGTTGTGTAAATATTTTTTTCCTTTAATTTTTTTTTTTTTTTTTTGTGATTCACAAAAAAATCTTTACACAATCATAATTTGAAGTACGCGTTTATACCTTCTTTCATTATGTATGTACATAAAAAATATATATAAGATTTTGATCCTTTTAAAGTCGATTATTCTTTTATAAAAAAATATAATTAGCTTGGCTTTAAATAATAATAACCGATTATACTTTATAAGTATGCAAAAATTTCTTTATTAAAAAATTAAAAAAAAAAAAAAAAAAAATATAAAAAAAAAAATTTTTTTTTTTTAAAAAAAAAAAATAAAGAACTTACTGTATGATTAACAAATTTTAATTCTCTATGATGTAAAAAAAAAATATTAACCAATAAGTTTTTCTTGGCCTCCGGTTAAATATGTAAAAAAAAAAAAAAAAAAAAAAAAAAAAAAATTTAATTAATTAATATAAATAATTATGATAAGATTAGCGTTTCTTTTTTTAATTTAAAAATTTAATTACAGTGATGAAGGAAATCTACCTGTATGTATCAGATATATCAATAGATTAAGTTAACTTTTAAATTGTGATCTGCAAAATTCAAAGAAAGTGGGAGTCTATCGTTCGACGCTTAACTCGCCAAGTCGTCGATCTAACCAGATTTGATTATTATTATTAATGAACAAAGATTGTGAATATGATACAGTTCTTAAAAAAAATAAAATAAAATAAAATAAAAAAAAAAAATTAAGGGAGACGGGATTTCATGATTTCATTGGTACGAATACTTTTTAATATTTGACAATTTATTATGGTGTCATTTACGTCATCATCAGAGCGAAACCCCCTTCATGCAAGTTCTTATTAGACGGTTCATATTTTTTTTTAATTTTAATTTTATATTTTTTGACGCATAAACAATATTTAAACATTTTACCATTATATTACGGAATAAAAACCATTGATTTCCAAAAACATAAAAAAAAGCGTAAAATGAATATATTTATGAATCCAATTGTTAATTTATTTGTTATTTGAATTTCATCTCACTTGCCTATAATTGGTAAATAATTCGCAGTTTAGACACCGGATCCTGTATTATTCGATTATCCTCTGGGGTACTTTACCTGAAATACGCAGCAACTCTTATTACCAAGAAATTCTTGAGATGAAACACGACCAGACTTTTCCTTTGTTTTCAGAAGAGGACTTGAAATACCACGTATAAACATCTGAAAAATTATCATTAATTGCTGCATTGACGGATTATCCGAATTCGAATAAGTTCTTACAGTGAAAAAAGTTAATTATGCGTCATTATTAATATACTAAATTAAGGGATTAATGTATTGGGAGTAACCTGGTAAACATTAATTTGGGTCAGCCCGAATGTTATTATTTACTACATATTCCCGCTCGTTTGTTTTGGTTGCTAGCCACTTAATTGAAAATCTTTTGATGTTTCTGCGGTCCCCTTCAGTTTTGAAAACGCTTTTCATGAATGTCAATCTTCACCTTTTTGTAATAATTCTTTAAAAAGATTTTTTTTTTTTTCTTTCTTTGTTGTCACAAACCTTTCTCTTGAGAAAATTCCCTACGCTACCTTAAAAAAGTTAGGGACGTTCTTGGTATAAAAAAAATATATAATACAATGATTCCTTTTGTATTATTATTGATGATATGTTTTCGCGGAAAAAAAAAAAATGTGAATACTGCGGTCCACTTTCATGAAAATTGCCTAAACGAAGTAAGCGAACGGGTAAATTGCTCACCGATCGTGACACATGCATTTGTTGACAAGTTTATTTCCCAAATTAATTAATTTACACTACGCTTAAAGTAAATGACTAAAAATAAAATCCTGTCAAAATTATAAAACCAATCAAATTCATGGAAGATTTCCGTGGAAGGAATCTAAATCTATTTATAGTAAGATTAAAAAAAATATGTGTACTGACGCACTTTAAACTCCGACTACATTGTTTATGATATCGGGTAAATTTTACCGAGATTTCATGACTAATTACCGATTTCTTACGATTAATGAAGCGGTCTTTTTTTTTTCTCTTTTGAAATTTCCCAAAGCGTGAGAATCTATTTTAAAAGATCTATGATATTATAAATCAACAATGCTTATCATCTCTGGGCTTTACTTTTCTTAATTTTTTTTTTTTTTTTTTTTTTTTTTTTCTGATGATTATTTTTAATTGGTTTCGGCTTATCCGTTCACTTCTCCAAAATGCAGCAATCATATATATGTATACAATGAACCTCTAACTTTTCATTGGAAAAAATAAATTTGAAGGAGCCCTTCCATGAATGCCGACTTTACTCGAATTATCTCAAATGATCATGAATCCCCTTTCCACTAATCTTTTTTTGGTAAATTCGGGACTCGGTTTGATCATACTTGGAATTTCTATGAAACGTTTAACGTATTAGAGAAAGACATTTTTTTTTTTAACAAGTTTTATACGATTAGGAAAAGGTTCCTCAGCCGAAATAAAAAAAAAAACATATATAAACATGTAAACAATAAAAAACAATAAAAAAAATTTTTTTCTTTTTAAAAACAAGGTCACATTACATAAACAAAGATTCAGAAACATCATCATTAAATGCAAGTTTGAATTGTACAAGGCGTTGCTTTTTTCTATAATCAAACATGTATGAAAGAAGTATCGTTTTGTAATATTGCTAATATTGCTTCAGTTCGTTGTGTGTGTTGTAGAACGGTATTAAAGACATTAAGGGGAGTTATTTCCGATTTTTTTGGGGGGGTTTCCAAGATAGAAACAAAAACGAAGATTCGATTAATAAACATTTTTCAATGAGTCCTTTGTATGTGAGAATGCAATCATTCATTTCTTCCCAAACGGTCAAGTTGATTGATGATAAACATGGGATTTACGCGTGGATTTGGATTCGCCATGCATAATTACGAAACTTCATTCAAAGTTTATCATTATAAGGAATGCCGACCGTAATACTCTAACGTAATGAGCATACGTAATTACCTAAACGCAACGCGCGTTCATAATACATAGTCTCCGAAACTTCCGATTTGCAATCACCCTAGATGCGGTTAGATAATTTCAAAAAAACAAATTAAATATTAATGAAGTACGTCATATGAATGAACTTGTACCTTTTTTTTCCATTGTCTTCCTTCCCGAAATGAATAATTAATTTGTAATAAAGTTTGATTGTACGAATTCTATTGGATGTTATTTAAACGGAAAAATAATTAATTTGTTACTCTTTTTCATAAATTTATAAAAAAAAAAAAAAAAAAAAAAAAAAAAAAGTGTATGGTTTTCCCGCCAAACCACAGTCATGTTGTGCGAACGGATGAGAACCTCTCACCTTAAATAAAAAAAAAATTAATAATTATATGCCGCCACTTAATCTAATGAATTGCATTATTATTTACTTTTGAAATGGTGCGGTTCTAAAGCCACTCTTCTTGTTACCGAGAATCGAGAATGAAAATCCCCGATCACTTGTTTTTGTCGCCGATCTTGTAACCAAATTGAACAAACTTTTCCCCGATTGGACTGGTAGGATGACATTAAATCACCTTTGCGCATCAGTTACCAGGTTTTCCCCTCATCACGGATGGTAATCCCGACCATCGAAGAACAAGGAAACGAGTTTCAGGCTACTTGATTCTACCAACGAATTGATTGGTTAACACATGAATCACCAATGAATGTGCATTCGAAGATTCTCGACACAAATAAAAAACGCTGTTTTTTCTTTTTGTCATGTATTGTATTTTTCTTCCTTTGATTAAAGTTACCCTGAATAAAAGTTCCTTTTGTAGAATCAAACAAGATTTATTTTCCTTCTTCATATCATCCGAAATGAGAACAAAAGGAAAGTACATGACATAAATTTATATATTTGTATGTATATTATATTATAAATAAAACAGAGACCAATCATTACGTATTATTTATCAATTCCCAAATTGTCAAACTCATTTTTGAATTACAAACATTACAAATTAAAAAAATTTAATTTTAAAAGAGTTAAAAAAAAATAAAAATAAAAATAAAAAATAAAAATAAAAAAATATTTGTTTTCGAGAAATTAAAAATGGGGCTTGTTACGATGAAAACTTCACGGGCCGTTCTCCTTTTAAAAATAAAGGGTCATATAAAGATATTTCTTTGTCGATTATAGCAAGGTTTCTTATCTTAATTAGTCAATTAATATCAATGGTCGTGTGACATGAAAAAATATTTGATCAAATGACGAAACGCGACCTTTACATCTGTTCATCTGTTTTGTTTGAAAACTATTTATAGAAGTTAACTATCGTTGTATAACTTTTAAACGTTCAAAGCAAACATGGAACTTCTTATCAACGAGTGATACGAAAGTTGTGGCTTGGGGTATTTTGACGCCACCACCATACAAATAATGAACTTTAAAATTTTCCTAAACTGACATTTTTTTTTCACTTATAAACATATTACGAATAACTCCGACACTCCGAACAACGAACTTGAACATCGATATTTTTTTTTTTTTTTTTTTTTTTTCCAAATGTCCCCGAACTTTTTTGCAAATTCAATCCTTTTTTTTTTTTTTTTTTTTTTTTTTTTTTTTTACCGATAAATTGATTATCTTGGGGGGTAGTGAAATGGGTAGTGATGAAAATAGTAAAATGGCTTGTTAAATGATTCCACTCAAGGGTTGATAGAAACAATTAGAAATAAAATAGTTTATGTAACCCTATATGAATGTAAACAAAAAGGAAAGAATCAA